TATCCACCCTCCAACCACCCTCTCTCCCTCTCTCTCTCTCTCGCTGCTGAACAGACTCTTCTTGGTAGGTCCCAGCCGGTGCCTTGAAGCTACTTTGAGCTGCTCAAAACGGCACCGCCGTCTCTCGTGCTCGGCGCAGTTTCGTACGAAGGCGAGAACGTAAACGCAGCCTACAGGGTTGTAGAAACAACATGGCGCGCTTCCAGAGTCCGTCGCAAGAGTTGGGCGAGACTCGCTGGAACACGCGGCGAGGTCGTCCCGGAACAGACAAATTTGATGTGCCTTCCGGGCTAACGCGGTAACAAGTTTCCGGCAAGTTTTCTCAAGGTGGGTAGGGGAGGGCCGCGGGTCGGAATATTAAATTTGTTTAACAAGCCACCCCGCTCTTACTTCGACTCCGCTAATTCTGCGTCCTTCGTCCTTCGTCCGGCTTCGGGGCGGCGCGCACCCGCTTCTTAGACCGAAATTAAATTTCGTTTAATTAACGACCAGGCGAAATGCGCCAGCTTCGAAATTCCACCACCACTCTCCGGACGATCCGTCAAGCAATTTTGAATTCGAGCAAATAAAAAATGCGAATACACAAATCGTCTAGTACATAAAAGAAATTTAAATACATATGAAGCATGCAAATCGCTATTATAAAAATATCACGTTCTTTCTGTGTATTGCATATTCACTTTATTAATGTTTCATAGAAATTTCTTAAGCCTTTTACAATATTCTTTTGTGAAAACAAACCGACATTTGTCTAATCCGCCTGCCGATGTGGAGTCGTTCGACAAGAAAGAGTACGCCGAGAGAAAGGGGGATATCTTCATCCATATCAATTACTCCGCGATTAGATGGATGAAGATACGGATGCGCAGCGTTCGGATCGCAGCCTCAAAGAAGACAGTTGTTTGTGGGATGGCGGGGTAGAGCAAGGAGAAAAGAAAAAGAACCTTGTTGAGCGAAGACACGAGAGGAGATTCGTCGTGCCGATCGTGATTGACAACATGACTGCCACAAGCAGCGATCCTGATTCTTTGATTGAGCGCTGTCACTCTTTAGATAAGAAACAGCCTGGCGAATATCTTAATGAGTGCCGCCTATGGCAATCCCTCTTGCCTCTCACGACATATGCGTTTTACGTACTTAATTAATCCGCCGGGGCCTATTTACACCGCAGGGTATCGATCCCTCGGTTCGACACCGCGAAGCGGATCGACGCGGACCGGCTGCCAATTAATGCGAGCAATCGATCTTTCTTCTCTACGTCTTGTTAAGTTATTCTCTTGACTAGTTATCCGCCTCTTAAATGGGTGAATTGGATTTACGATTTCAAGAGATTGAGATTTGTGTTCTTTAAAACTGTCAATTACTCAAGATAGGATAGAATATGTTTATAATAATAATGTGCTTGTACTTTCATATGCTTTATTTAAATTTAACTAAAATAATATTTGACTAAAACCGTAAATTAAAATTTAAATATGTATTGACTATTGACAGATGTATAAAGATAATATTCAGTGATGGATGCCTAAAAAGTGATTTTTGTGTAAACTGTTTAAAATGCTGAAAGAGGCTTCTCTTTATCTATCTCGTATTATGCCTGTCCGTAAAAAAATCGTAGAAACGCTGATGATTCGCTAATCGCTAATCGATAAGGCATGCACAATTGAGATAACGGAATCTCAAAGACGGGATGGCGCTTCGACTCAAGAAGAGGAGACAAAAAAAGGTTTAGGCCAAAAAGAAAGAGTTAAAAATATATGAGATATGTAAAACACTCTTATCTTGTCGATCAAATAATTAACAATGTGACCAAGCAGTACCAGCAACCTAACGAAGAAGAAAGCGACTGGCACGCAAAAGATGTACCTCGAGATGTACCTTCATCAAAGAGATCGGAATCAAATTCAGAGATACCGCCAGAAGAAAACCGGGGGACAATCAGAGTTCGGCCGATCGATCGTCCAATTGTCGCGGGACAAGACCACCTCTCCTCGATGTCTCCTTTCCGTAGTGTTATTTGTTAATTACCCATTAATTAGCCGTTTTTTAATTTATCCGCTTTGATCACACATGACAACATAGAATATGTGGTTGAGAAAGAATGAGATTACATCGATATCATGTTCATTTCTTCATCTTTTTTTCTCAATTGTTCTAAACCATCTAATATCTGCGTCATCAGTTTTCTCGATTATGCGATTGTTATTTTGTTGTATATTAAATTATTACGGAATAATTACATATGTATTTCTTTTTTTTTCAGTTATTATATCACAAAAATTTTATTTAATCTTAACATATGTTTAATAATGTGTAAATTTTTATGTCTAATGTGTGTCATTATTAATGATTCTTAAACACTCTGTTTTAAATTAACATTGACGAGATACTTTAAGTTTTTAAAATATATATTATTTAAAAAAACGTACATTATTTCTTAGATTTGGGAAGATTTCGAAAAGAAAAGGTATACTTTTATTATAGCAATGTCAAAAACACGACGTAGAAGTCTGACAAATGTCTAAGAAACATAATGAATAAATGAACAGTCATACGAAGAGAAACGAGATGTGACTCATGCGGAAGAATGTCTCTCTTCCTGATATTCAAGAAAAATGCGCGCCAAAATTGAGATGCACGCTTAGAGCAAAGTTCAAACGGCGAAAAAACGATCGCTCCATAAGTCAACACCAATCAGGAAAACGTCGCTTCGGTCCAGTGACGTAGCGCACCGATAGAAAAAGAAAGTACAGAGAGACCATGCGAAGCGAAACACACAGCAGAGATATATAGACTCTTATTTTGTTCACGATAGGGCTGGCAACTCGCCTGTGATTTGAGGGGGAAGGAGAACGAAAGAGAGCGAAAGCACGAGAGAAAGAGGGAGGGGAGGAGAAGAAAGAGAGAGAAACCCCGGATATAATGGTACAAAGCCTCTTTGAATCTCCGAGACGCACCGCCCCGCACGCGGGACTTTGCTATCGACGATCTGCTGCATCGTATGCAAATTTTTCTTCTTATAAACATCAACCTCCGCGGATCTTAGGTGCTCCTCTGACCACTGCGCTTCCTTGCTTCTATCATTCCGTCTCTTTTGCTCGTATCTGCCCACCGGCTTCTTAGGCTGGCATGACGCTGCGGCATGACGAAGATGCGGCCTGTCTTGTATGATAAAGAGAATAACACACACATTGAAATGGAGAAATCCTAGAGTTGTCTTTTACATAGCTTCCGTAGACGAAGTCGAATTGATGGCATAATAATAAATTTTGCTTCTAAAAAAATACAATTAATTAAGGCGTGAATATTGAAAAGAATAAATCAAATACTTTTCAACTTTATATAACTTTTTAAATCACTCAACTGCTGTTTGCTAGATTTTAATATTTTTAAATAAAATGTTTTGAAATTTTTGAAATAATATTATTGTATTTTAATACAATATTTTAATAGTATTATTATTATTTGATAGCATTATTTAATAATATTACGTTTATGATATTATACTAATTAGTGATATCAATTAGCGCATCAAGAAGTATCTTACGCTAGAGACTTTTCCTTTAATCGTGACTTCGCAGTTCCTCTCTAATTAGCTAATTTTTCATTAATCTCCTTTAATTAGCATACGGTTTCGCCCCGTTGTTACAATGTAGAAGTCGAACGTGATGTTGGTATTAATTAACGTGCATCTATTGTAAGTATAATAAAGCCGACATTAGATACAATTTGATGGAATGCGTCCTTAATTATCTCGCTTTGTATGCTTTGAACTTACAGTGAATGTGAGATTCGCGGAACGAATATATTCCGAAAGATTCAATGCCGCGCTTCGACGCGAGTCTTTTTCGAAATCGCAATAAATCCCGATTTACACGGGCAAGCGGATGGTTGGATCGCTCATTTCTTGCGGTGGAAGTTCATGGAGATGAGGACCACCGCGTGAAACGATCGAACGTGTTTAAAGTGTAATTTAATGCAACAGCATGCAGGTGTCCGCCAGGTAGATATCGCGCACTGCCAAAGGCATCGACAATGGGAATCGAGCTTGAAGAAGCGCCGTGCATTTTGATGGACCTCTGATCGCTCGTTTATCCTCCTTCTCCTTCGCCTTTTTCTCCTCTCTCTTTCTCTCGGCTTTTGCCCGGTTGTCGCCATTGTCGCACAATGAGACACGTATCATTCTTATCCTGCCACATCTTGTCACGAAGACGTTGTACTTGAAGCGTCGCGCCGATTATAACAATTTGTTCGCGCCGTCGGGGGCAGGCCTGACCAGATTGCCAATGAAATGTCGGTGCCTCTGCTTGTGAAGAACCTTGTCTTTTTCAAATTGGTCGACGTTACCCAGCATTACCGTCATAATGCGTTTTTATTTTATTATTACTCGATATCAAAAGGAATTGATAAATTTACATTTATCCATATATTTACATAATGTAATAATACAGTAATATTTTATTTAGAAATCATCTTTTCTCTCTAATATATAACAAATTTAATTGTATTTATTATTATATTTTATATTTTATGAAATATAATATCTTAATAATAATAATAATAATTTATTATAATATGACTAATTATAGGTCTCTCGGTATTAGTTTGGATATCACAATCAGGAAACCCCTGTTTCCTCTTTTGTCATTGAAACAAATCCAAGCGCGGCTCGTTAAAACGTGCAAATTGTTATCCGTTGTTTGTACCGTGGCTCAGTAATTATTGCGAAATTAATATTTATGAAGTATGTCGGCGCACACGGATCCTGATTAATTGTCGAATTAATTCGATAATTAATTGCAATATAACAAAACAATAATTATCGCGGGATTAATGTTTATTAAATATATATTGCTCGGATACGTTTCCAATGGTCGTTGAAATAAAAAAAGGAAAGGGCCACCGTCAGATTACGCGAAAGTGCGGTGAGAAGCGTGATTACGCCCGGTAAATTCTCCCCTTCTCGGCGCAAAGAGGAAAACGTTATTCTTTAATTACAGATGACAAATGGTTCGTTTCGGCGGTTATACGGCCAGGATAAAGCGCGACGAACGGACGGGGTCGTACGCACTCGTTATTTCGTACTTTGGAACATGGCGAAATGGGGGACACGACGGACCACGCAATAATACTGGCCTGAAAAAGCTGAAAAAGAGGGCCAGAAGGGCAGCCATTACTTGCGACGCTTCGCTTCCAAACGATCGCTATTTATCTCGTCGCAACCAGCGAGATTATGCAAAGAGTAGTCCTCCAACCCAACAAAGTCGATGACTTGCCCAATGTTTGTCGTAAGTTATAAACAAACGATAGCTTAACACTATGATCGTATTATACAATATATTTTTATTTTTTAATATTCTATGAAGATCCAAATGTGCTAGAAAGATCATAAAATACATATAGGATTAATACATTATATATATGTATAACATATTGTAAAAATATTATTTTTTTGCTCAATGAATGTCTTAATTTACATATTTTATGCAAATAATAAATACCACTTTTTTAAAAAGTAATACATGTCTTTTGTCGCGACGGCATACGTATATATGTAAAGGAGGGTCAAAAGGTGAACAGATGAAAACGGAGACAATGTACGTTCCTGTCGTCACTGGACAAATATATCACATTAGATGTGAATATTTCCTGCGAAGGTTTAACGTCTCTATTGTACCATTATCAATTACGATTAATATTTTTAGCAATAGCAAAGCTGCCTAAATAATGTTTAGACAAAAACATTTTGGATATATCATACAAATATTTTTCTTCTTTATCTTATTCCTTGTGTTTTAGCATGTGATAATTTCTTGAAAGATTTTATAACTTGTGAATTTAATGTATCTGAAAATCGTATATGGATTTGTATTTTTAAAATTCCTTTAAATGTGTGTGAGACGAGGTATTTTACATATGTATATACTGACCGTTTTACATAATGTTTACCAATTTTTTAATAGTCTATCTCTTTTAGTCAGTAAGAGATTATAAGTAGTCAATATTTTCTATTTTCTCAGTAGAGAAAAAGAACTTATACGAAAACTGTTTTCGATTTTCCCTCAATAATCGCTTCTTTTGCCGATCGTTAGCTAAGTAGATAGACATATATATCTATAAAATGCGAAGGAAGCACAGAGTTAGTTGAGTTACATAGTGGACGATGGTCGATCCAACGGCCATTAGTTCGGGGAAAACAGAGCCATACTTTATTCGAGGGGCGTCACTCTTTTTCCAGCGTGGTTCCGCTTCTTTGTGCGGCAAAAGTCATAATGTTTTCTGTCAGAAGTACCTCGAAGATTGAAGGAGATAGCTGTGCCGATTACGCGTTTAAAGCATTGTTATTTATGGTTTCTGTGTTCGTGTATAATAAAATATAGTGTATAGTGCATTTCGTAAATTTTAATATCATCCGCATGTTTAACGCAAAACTATTTTTATAAGGGATATGATGAATAATACACAAAGTTTTTCTTGAAATAACATGCGTGCTGACATATAAGTAAATCTATTTAATATTGTTCAATGCTAAGAACATGATAAATATGACAACACTATAAATGCGAAAATTATGCTAACAACGGAAGTTTCACAGACAGAAGTCGCGCATTGAGATTATTAGCAATCGAAAAGAGAGACAGACCGACGATCTATCGAGCGAACCATCTTGCCGACTACATGCACTGCGCGTTCTCCCTTTCGGGAAAACTTCTAACACGCGATGTGGATAGCTTTACGACATGCAGAAAGAAACATAGCTGGATTATCAAAAAGTTGACGAATGGTTCGATACAAGGAAAATATTGATACAAACGTGAAGATAATCGCAGAGTTTTCTTAAAAAAGCAATTTCTATAACACATTTACCTATGTTATTGTCATTTACAATTTATTTTAATATTTTTAATGTTATTACATAATGTTATATTATGTAATAATTTGTAGACGGAAATGTTACTAATCAATAAGTACTATAAAATGAACATTAATGTATCTGATAAAAGAACGTCATAAAACTTAAACTAACTGTTCCTTTCAAGTGTGCTTTAAAGCGAGTAGTTTACATTTTTCACACAAGCACCAATGCTATTATTGTTTCAGTGTTGATACAATCTATATGTCTAGCTTTATTATAATTATAAAAGGTATAAGTATCGTACCCTTTTTAATTTTAATTAGGATTAGAGAAACCCTTAAGCAGATAAATTTGCTAATATACGAAAGTTTCACGAAATTAAGAATCTCTCCATCTTCGGCATTTTACATATTTGTTGCAATTTATTTCACTAATTCTCTCGGTGTGTATGAGTCTCGAGTCGCAGGCAAGGGCTCGAGCAAACGATCGAGACACCAGGGGTCCGTCAAAAGCTTCGTCCGGGATAAGTTGGCCGGGGAGAACAGGCCCGTTTAACTGACAATAAATTCCCGATTCCAGTCTCACAGCCGCGCGACGTGTCTTCCCGGTCCTCTCTTTCGTGGCGGGGAAATACAAAAAGGCGATTTTGCGACCGGCGAACGAGTTCTCCGCTCGGTATATCGGGAGAACCTGAAGAAACTCAACGGAAAAAGGAACACATAGGGGCAAAGGACGAAAAAGCGTCGGACGAATAAGCGGGAGAAGCGGGGGGGAGGAGAGGAGGTATAAGAAAAGGAAGAAAAAAAACGAAGTAGAAGAAGAAGAAGAAGAAGAAAAGGATCGCGGGAGCGAAAATGCGCGGGAAGAGGAAGAGAGGAAAAGAGGAGGAGGGGAAGGGGTCGGACGTTCGTTAAATATACGAGTGTATTGAAATTCCGCCTCGAGACGGAGCGCGATGGGACCCGCTCGTTGTGGAAGGACAAGATCGCATGACGGCTCGAGGGCTTGGGAGCCACCCGCTGTTTTGAATACGATCCTTCGTCCGTAAGTCCTCCGCCACGGTGTTGCCGCGCGGCGTGTACAAGCGAACCGCCCGTATATACGCTCGGACACCAGAAGGACCGTCCTGCGCCCGAAGACGACAACGACCCGACGCGACTCTCAGGTACGCATACCGTCGTCCACTCTAATTTGAATGTAACAACGTTCCGTTCGGCCGCAACCCGATACCATCTCGAAGCACCCCGCGCCGCGCCGCGCCGTTCCCGCGACCACGAAGAAGGCTCCGCGTTCTCTGTCGTTCCTTTCTTCTAGTGTCGTCTTCACGCCGTTTTCCTTCGTTCTGTCATTCGAGTTAATATATGCAAAAAGAATTATCCTAGTTGGGCCAATGACGATGAGAAATTATATAAATGTATTCGTGCGTCTTTATTTTAATATTCTTGGGGATGTTTGTTCTAATCTATTGGAATATAAATTAACTAATAGTTAAATCATATGTCTAGCTTTGTTTAGTTTGTTAAATTTGAAGGAAAAACAAAGTCACATATATTTATATGATTTAACTATTAGTTAGTTTACCAACAGGTTGGAACAACCGGTCCCCTATTATATTTATTAATATTATATTTAGTATTCTAATATTATAATATATATAGAGACCCTTTATAGAGAGAGAGAGAGAGAGAGAGAGAGAGAGAGAGAGAGAGAGACCCTTACTTGAGAGTCTCTACTAGTATACGATATTAGCATAATTGGAATAATGTACATCCATCTATCCACTGAATGTATTCGTGCGTAGCGATGACGTATTTTCAGCAACTTTCGCGGTTGACTTTTATTCTCGTTTTCGAGTTCTCGCTTGATCTCGTCGCGCGCGCGAATAACGCGGCGTGCCTCAAATAAATCTTGCTCCATTTGTCCATCCACGTCCAGCGCGGTCCAGTCAATTCGTCGCGATAGCGCAGAAAGATGGCCGCTCCGCGTAGGCGGCAATGCACGTTGTTTACACGTTTGGTCATGATGGTGTTTGGTTATATTACATGCAGAATACGTGATGACGGGTACGTGTCTCTGGGATGATTGACGGACGATACACGTCGTCCGTCGCATCGCAATGCAGGACACCGTCCGGCTTCCCGGTAGCCGCATGATGCGAATCGGCAAGTTCTACTTGCCTCATTCTCTCTTTCCGTCTCTCTTCTTTCTTTCTTTCTCTCGCTCTCTCTCTTTCTCTTTCTTTCTCGTCATCGAACGAGACGTGGGATACCGAAAGAGCAGTCGAGAATGAAGGAGGACGGGGCCTCTCCTCCGCGATTCCGAATGCACCGTTGGTCCTACTGCATCGAGACAAGGACGATCTCTTATCTCCGGCTGGATTCTATTCCAGGAACTCCAGGGCATCGCGCCAAATTACTATAAATAGACGCTAATCGATGTGGTGGGAAAAACGGCTAGATGCGAAACGAATACCTGCGGCGCGCCGTGAGTTCTGCGTGCGGCAGAATGCGGAGCATCCAGGCGGATCGCGGATGTTCATTGGCGAATTATGTCGATTTTAGTAATTTTGCGATTTTGGCAGTCGCGCCACGGGCTAACCACTCATTCGGATCGCGATTGTCGCAATGTACAGAATTATAAATATAACGAGTCGAACAAACATTTCATAAGGTATAAGATAAGCGGATATAAGAAAGTGTCTTATATGTTACAGAACTAATACTCTAATCTATTTTAAGCCGTTTTGACCAAAAGAATATGATCGCTGTATCCTAAATCGAGCCGGGGAAAGACACGCGATTTCACGAATTTATATCGTCGATGCGTAAATATTCGAGTCGGAGAGTCCGAATCGTATTGAAAATAACACGTGACAGGTTTCTTTCTACCATCAAGGGACAATGTCGATGTCTATCGTTAATTAGCCGCTGACAAGAGGCCGGCTCGTGTCTGGGATTCGTTTTTGCCCCCGGTATAAAGTAAGCTACGTCAAGCGCGGAGGCAACGGCTAGACAGGGAGAGGAGGCCAGTCGATTGCCAAATGGAAATATGTAATCCGCCCGCCTGCCGACGATCCGCGGACAGCAGAGGACAGGCTTCAGAAAATGAGTTTCCCGGCGCAGCGCGTTGCCCCCGTGTGTAACATCAAAAGAGACCCCGGGGCGCGCCCCGGTAACTACTGTATACATATCTATATATATATTATACATATGTCGCCGTATTTGCTGCAGTGTCGATGAACGCGGACGTGGAGGATCGTTCTTTGACTCGGCGATAATTATCACGTCCGTCCCGCGATTCTTTGCGGTGACGACGCGCAAGCCCAGGTCGACGGCGCAGGCAGCTAAATTAAAATCTGGTATTGCTTCTGGACACGAAACTTACGGGGAATGTAATATTTCGTATACCGGAATAGTATATCGACGATATACC